TTCAAAATTTAATTTTAATTTCAATTATATTTAAAGTATAAAGTTTTTTTTAGAAGATGTTTTTAGACTTGAAAAATGTTTTTAAATTGCTTGAAATATTTTTTCTGATGTAGGGCTATATACTCGTATTTGTTAAGAACATGTACTTTGGTGTAAGACAGACTGTTATGCAAATTTTTGGACATCTCTAAGCCTTAGTTTTCTTGTCTGAAAATGTGGATTCTAATGGCATAGGATTAGGTAAGGTATAAGGTTAGCACACTGTCTTGTATATAATAAGCTGTCAGTAATCGTTGGCTTTGTTAGTTTTTGTAGTTGTTATGTAAACCTAGGTATTTTAGAAAGTTTTTTGTACTTGTTGCCTTAATATATAACTGTTTAGTATTTTGAAAAATTGTAAATATATGTATAAGCTGTTTTCTGTGCTTAAAAGAGAGCAAAACTATCACTGTTACTTTCTACTTAACCTTAAAAGTATGTAAGCTTACAAACAAAAGTGTGAAGACAAAAATGTATTAAGAACTCTACTCATTAGGTAATTATGTAGACACTTGATTAATTGCCTCATTTTGTCTTTTTTAATCTTATGTATGTATAAAACTAAAATCGGTAACTTAAAATTGTAAAGCTAAAATAACAAAATTACATTACTCTCCCTTTTTATTTCCATAATTTTTTTTTTTTAAGCTGAGCCATCCTGCCACCTGTTGGCAGCTCAGCAGCTGCTCAGCTCGGGCCGGGAACCATACCACCATTGCTCAGAGCTCAAACTCTTGAGCGAGCTTTTAACCAACTGAGCCACTCGGCCGGCTCATTTCCATAATATTTTTAATGAAAAAGTCAGCTAACTTCAAGAACTTTGTTCAGTAACTAAAAATATGTTCTGGTCAAGTGTTTGAAGATTATATTAATTGTTCTTGGCTAGACATTTTCTTGTCTTCTACTATAGTCATCTAATATAAACTAGTGTGAAATCACAAATAACTAGTTTTATTTCATTAATACCTTAAATTTTACATAATGTACCTACAAATTGAATCTGATAAAAATCTTATGAAAGTATGGCAAACATTTTCAATGATTTTTTTTATAGTGCTTAAGTGTTTTCACTTTTATAATAAGATAAATGCTTTGTTTCAACCGTTTAGGTGGAGATATTAGTAACAGTTATATGAGAAAGTAGTTTAGCACTGGAAAATATGGGCATATCTGCTCTGATACAATATATGCATACTTGAAAATCCTTGTAGTCTGTAAAAATTACCCTAAAAATAATAGGCCTTGGAGAAAAATAGGGAACAGTCCTCTTAAAACCTATGTACCATTGTAACCAGAGCACACACAAAAACATTATCTTGGGAGATGACCTGTGTAATCTAGTCAGGCAGGTCAGCACGACTGGAGGTTACCTCAGGGAATGAAAAAAATACTCAAAACCAATATGCAAATATTGGCTGGGAGCAGGATGAGAAAGAGGAACTCCTTTCTATTCAGGAGAGCTTGCCTTGAGCCAAAAGCTGTGTAGGGCTGCAAGTGACTTCTGTGGAGTGAGAGTATGCATGCACCAAAGTTTAGGAATTTATTTTTTATTTTCTTAAANAAAAAAGAACCAGTTGAATGTGAAGGGGCTCTATTTTTTAATGGTCTTTCAGGGCCACACTCAGAATAGGAACAGTACTGAAATACTCAGTTAAGAATCCAGCCATTTAAGTTTGGGAAGGGCAACATAAGTCATATTGTTCAGTTTGAGAACTTTTAACAGAAGACCAGAGGTATGAGTAATTCTGTAGTTTAGAACCCTAGAAGCTCAGGATTGGAGGATAATTTAAAGGTTATAAAAATCCAACCCTGTTCTGATGCTTTAATTCTCTTTAAACCTATGAATACCCTCATCTAATGACAGTACTATCTTCTCAGGTGACCCTTTCCATGTTTGAACAGCTTGAGGATCAACCAAAACTTGCCTCCCTTTGCTTGTACTCATTGGTCCTGTGAGAACCGTATCAGTTTTCTGACAACTTTCAAAACATAGGAGGATGACTCTCATGTCCCCTTTTAAATTTTTCCAGGCTAAAATATGCCCAGTTTTTTCAAATCTTTCTTAAATGATGGTTTCAGACTTTTCTTGTCTTGGTCACTTCCCTCTTATTAAGTTCTAGTTTATATATTTCTTTCAAAATGTGGCACTCAGATAATACCTCACATTTACTGGCCTAATGGAGTAGTCTGGGTATTTTTAGTTTGTTTTCTTTGTTGACTGGCAAACCCGTGCTTTTGTATAAACAAACATTGTATTGGATATTTTACCAAAACATTTTGATATATTCAGAATGCACTGCAACCTATTAACACTGGGCTCATGACCAGGAGATTCCATACCATCCCTCTTTTTTCCCCTGGCTTGACTGTAGTAGTCCATCTCTCTTGCCATTATTCCTTACTTAAGACACATTTAAGATATTCATATAGGCGTATACCTATCACATATAAACGTAAACTGAGAGATAATTTGAATTCAGAATAATTAGGGCAGTGGATTGAATGTGAAAGGCAATTTAAGAATATAGTAGGTGTGGATTGGAGTGCTAGAAAAAGATAATGGAAAAAGTTAAGAATTTGAAGGATTGGAAGAAAAGAGTCTTGCTGTAGCAAATAAATGAGGCTTATAGTTAGAGCAGCCATAGTTGTTGATGGAAGTGATAGTATCTTAAACATGATTAACTATAACTGCTAATGCTTTTCATTTTGTTTTGATAGGAATCATATGAAGATGGCCCTTGTACTATAACCTCAAATAAGAATTCTGATAGTAACTTGCTTTCATTGGATGGATTAGATAACGAAGTCAAAGGTCTTGATATACTTTCTCTAAGTTTCTCTTTTGATTGAAAATATACACTGTTGTCAAAGCATGCTAAT